AAAGAGACACCTGCATTCAAGAGTTCATGGTGTGTTGTTTGAGACAGAAACAGAATGGATTTTGACTTTTTCCAAATATTGGAAACAATAACTAAGGTAAGAAGCTTATGTTACCATCTTTACGGCAAGTAGTTTATTTTTGCGAGAATGTTTGTGCATTCCCGCGTGTAAACAGTTTGTGAAATATGTTTTATATCACCTTCCATTCATTCTTCTTCTTCGTATGGTCTTCCGACAGACAGCGGGACATTTGGCACATTGCAGTCTTTCTCTGGTTATTGCATTATTAACTAGTGTAGAGTACATCCCCTGCTCACATTTTCAGTGCACTACATAGATGTATAGTGTAGACTTTCCAGAAGCACAACACAATGGCATGACCCCTGAGTAGTGTTCTATGTAGTGTATAGTGTGGACATTCGGTCACAGCCCATGACTTTGTAACGCCACCAAACTAGGTTCTGGTCACCAGTGCACAAGGGACACCACCACAATGGTAAAAATTCACAGGATTTATTACAAAGTTTAAAAGTAGATTGAAAGCTAGGAGGATTTGATTAAAGTTAGAGGGGAGAGGCTTGATTTCCGAAACTTGGGAGCCAGCCTTTAACAGCGTTCTCAGGGTCCATGCAAAAAGGTGGTTTAGTTGGCCGATTGTTGGTGTGGATCTCAGTCCCAAGTAGGCCCCGGATGCAGAACAGAACCCCAGGTCTTCAGACCGCCTGGAGGACCCGAGCTGTTCAGGGACAGGAAATGCATAACAAAATACAATACAGATCTTGGCTAATTGCTGTAGTATCTGCTAAAGTTCTTTTATATAAGTGTTAGTGATGTGCATTATTGCTGCCACTCTCTGTCTTTGGTGTGCAAAGACAGAGAGTGGACGAGGGAGAAGAGAATGTGAACTGAGTTTTCAAAGGAGAAGTACCGCCTCCTAGAGCTGCCCACTAATCAAATGGCCCTTGACCCACGACACACAAAGAAAATCCCACACAAAGAAAACCACGCCCAAAGTGGCAGTGATACAAAGTACACTATTACAACTTTCTTTTATGAGAGTCAATCTACATCAGACCATACTTCCTGTCTTCATAACACACCATCCATAATAGACCTTGATGCTATATGAATCCCGCCTGCATACACGGCTCCTAATGCTGGCCCCATGCAGACAAAACGGAACAATGAATTTTAGAATATGTGGAGCTCACACTGTTATCTCCTTCTACACTAAGCCTCTCCTATGCCTCGTTTTACTTTGTTTAAACCAGCGCTCCTCTAATTACTCCATCCTGCTGCGCTGCTTCTTTTGCATTGGTGGATAGAATCACGCACAAATTAGCATTTGGTATATACGCTTTCTCAATGCTTAAAAATTTCAATATATCAGTGTTACGCTTGGTTAGAGGCACTATATCTTGGAACTGACTGTGTATTGCTGAAGTGGTTGTTATATCCTTGTATGTATTTTCAGGACACAACTCTTCTTGATTGGACCTCAAATTGTTTGTAATGTGCTTTTTTGGCAGATTACAAGCAGGTCAAAGTCACCCAGCCAACTTCAGCTCTGCCAATATGCAGTACGTAGAATGCTACACCTCTTGGTAAAGCTCAGAATCTCTTTGATCCAGTTGGAGACCTATGCCCACAATTCAATCTGGAGAGACTAGAACAGACACAAAATGGATTTTAGAAAGATTTATTGATTGGCGCATTGACCCCGGCAGTGACACTTGCAAAGGGGAGATCATTGCTGCTGAAGATTTTCTCAGATCGCTCAAAGTCAAGCACTGGTGGTGGCTAGGAACCGGAGTAGGAGCCAGAGGATTAGCTGGAGAGCCCGGTGGGTAGCAAGAGCTTCAAGAAGCGTCGGTTGGTAGGAAGTGGCTGCTTTTAAACTGCCCGTTTCGCTGTCACAGGTTGGCAAGTGGGCTGGCAGAGGTGTGTGATTGGCTGAGGGTGGAGAGGCTGGCCCTGAATGGGATGAAACAGGAACATGTTGTCTTCTAGTCTGAATTTGCGCTTAAAGAGCGACTAAACACCAAATCAACTTTTTTTAACTCATAAACTGCATAAGTATGTTTATTGTTGTGCTCTCTACATATCCTGGTCATTTTTTTGACATTTTAGTTCAAATTAGATAAAATATCACTTTTGAGCCAAAAAACGCTGTGTGGCGCCCTCTCAACCTTTTTGGTGGTACTACATTTGAATTTGGTTCTGGCCTCTCCATTGACTTTGAAGTTCTCTATGACATCAGTTGTTTTGTGTGACGTCAGTCTGTCAGAGCCAGTGATGTGAACCCATTCAACTCTCACACACGCCCCAGCAGCAGTTTGGAGTATTCTGGCGCCATCTAGTGGATTAATATTAAATTACATGAGTCATTCTGAGATTATTGAGTGTGATTAGGTTCAGGTGTGTAGCTTGTTGTCAAAAAAGATTTGACTGACGTGTTCAGAGTTTGATACAGAAATAAGGCCAAGACTTCAAGAGTTAAGAATAGAACATTTATATCTCTTTACAATTAAATATTGATACAAAACTCTTGGAGCTCTTAATTCCCTAAATCTATCCCTGTGCCGAGCAATTCTATACTATCACTGTATACGATGTTCCCTGTCTATCTATCCTTGCTCGGACTGAGACTAAAATGTCTACTAACAGTTTTATCAGAATGTCCGATGACGTCATATGGTCTGAGGCTGGACTCCGGTCTGGTCTGGTCTGGTCTTCAGAGGCGCCTTCCTGTCGGGGGGAAAAAGGGATTCACACATTCCAACCTATAGCTTCTTCCTTATAAGGAAGAAGCCTCCATGCAGCTGTCACTACATGGGCTGACATCAATCTCCTTCTCCAAATAACTCCCTTAATTAGTCCAACAGCCGCTTCCTAAAGAATAAACCTATAGAGCACAAAAACCTCCAATCACACTAACAACATAGTATCAAAGTGTTAGTACATGAAATCACCAAAAATATAAAGTAAATATATGTTAATAAAGGTTATGTGTATTATCATATCAACAAATGTGTGGATTAGCAGGGTCTAGCCAAGAATGCAGAACTCCCTCAGCCCCCAGATAAAAATCAGAGATCATTGACTTTTTCCTGGACTCTGGTCTGAAAGATAAGAAGAGCAAACAAACAGCAGGTGCAGCCGCATTTTCTGAGATATGCATCAAGCTTTACAATTATCTTAGTATGTAAACAAGGGTGGAATGAGACTTTCTGGTCAGTAAACTATTGCTTTAAAGGTCCTATATCACGTTTTTCTTCATGTTTCACACTCAATCCTATGCACATGTGTGATAATGTGTGTGATACACCACACAACAATCAAAGCTTGTGAGATTAGAGCCATCTCTTGTATACATAGTTCCCACATGACGTCACTACATACGGGGATTTGCCGACCCGGCGACATTTGTGTTGGCATGCTGTGGGCAAAACAATAGAAAAAGAAGCTGAAACGTGTTAATGTCGTGATAAAGTTGAAAATGGTCATCTCCTGCTTGGTCAATGGATGTTCAAATCGTGCCGGAGGTTCCGTTAAACTTGGATTTTACAGTATACCCATCATTAGACTTCATGAATGTGAGAAGACTAAGCTTTTGTCAGAACAACCACGGAGGTTATGGCTTGCGAAGATAAACAGGCAAGAAACTCCCTCAAAACACGCAAGAATATGCTCGGAGCACTTTGTGTCAGGTGCGTATCGTATCTTATAATGTGTTGACAGACGTAATTTACTCAGTACTAACTTGAGTATGCTGATAGCTGGTAACTTGAGAGTTTCATTATTTAGATTACTTTATTATGAGGAGGATCGGTGTCGCGTCCGAGGCTCTCGAGGGCAACGTAAATGTATTAAATAGATAATAATAGTTCTATGGTGGGCTAAAACAATGTTCACAAACAGCATTGCTTCTGTAAAAAGATCTGTGTCATAAAATAAACTGCTCTTTACGCCTGGAAAAATCAGTTGCCCACCATTCACCAAAACATACGGTCAAAAACGCGGAAATAAACAATAACAGCAATCCAGAGTGTCCGTGTGGCATTAGCATTAATTAAATTAATTGTTAATATAATTAAAATAATTAAATGGAGCTCCAACTGGTATTAAATCTAAAGTTTTTGAGAAATGTTTGCATTGCTTGTTAATTTTTGCTGCATAATTTGATCAAATATGTAAAACATGTCCGTAGCACGTTAAACTGTGGTGCCATTGTATTAATATACAATTATTTGCTCAAAAGTTGCCCTTTTTTTCCAATTTGCGTTTGAATATCTACATTTATTCTCATTCTTCTGTTTAATGGAATGCACAAACACAGCAGCGAGCCATCAAAGATGGCGTCTCCGAGGAGGTCATGTGACATTCATTGGTCTGTGGGAACTATGTATTGAGGTGACGTCATCACAACTCAAACGAGCTGATCCAGAGAAGAGTCTGCTCCTCTGTCTGTGAGCCCGCCTCCCCCCGCCCGCACGGTGACGTAGCATCACGCTCTTGTCGTTTATCACTGGTTTTCTGTCCTCACTATGGTGTCACACTACCAGGGCTAGACAGATAGCGAACAACAAAAGAGAGTCCAGTAGACCATGTAAAGACGTTAACTTTTACTTTTTGCTCCACACTTGTCTCTTTAAAGTTGTAAAACTGTAACACAATACATAGAAACAAGTATCAATAAATTGTACCAAACAATGAGCTTCCAAAAGAAATGAATGAATATTACAGCTTATTACACAGTCAGTAAATGAAACACTACATCTTACATTTGTACTCATGTAACTCGTGTAACACAGAAAAAATACATTTTTGTATTTCTGAACTTTAGATTGGAGCGTATAGCCTAGCTTAAAACAAATGGAGCTAACACACAAAATTAGCAGTTAAAAAAAGTAGTAGCAACAAAAAGAACTTCTCATTTTCTCATTCTTATTTGTACAAATTTTTTCAACAAAAGAACATCAAAAACCACACATCATACATCACTTACGGACAAAGATGCCCCAAGGCTGAAAAACGGGTGTCTGAGTGAGCTGAACTGCACGTGAGCTGACGTTGAATGATGAGTGTGCAGAAAAAACGAAACTTATACCCAAGTTGTCCACTAGAGGGCAGTATTCAAACTCGCCAAAAATAACAATTTATAAAATGTACATAACAACAAAAGGGTGTAACAGTACACTCCCCGCCTGGTATATTAAAGAATGTACCACTATTTAATCGTTACCAATTTTTTGGAACAAAAGTACTATTACATCGTTGACAGGTCTCAGATACGTTTTAACAGAACCATGTTTCACAATCTTAACTTCAAGTTTCCTGACCTTTTTGTCACCACTAGAAATGGCGTTAACCACAATACCAACAGGCCATTCATTACGTTTGACTTGAGTGTCTTTTAATAAAACAATGTCTCCTTCTTTTACGTTTGGTTTGTCTTTGTTCCATTTACGTCTTGTTTGCAATGTGGGGAGGTACTCTTGCCTCCACCTTTTCCAGAAACAGTCTGCAAGGCCCTGGACTTGATGCCACTGGGCTTTATAAAGATCTTTGAGTTCAAAGTTCCCAGGCGGCGACAAGACAGGAGAAGCCTTTTGAGTGAGAAGCATTGCTGGTGACAAGACCTCTGGAGTTTCAGGGTCTGTGCTTACAGGGACTAAAGGTCTGGCGTTCATTATGGCCATGACCTCAGCCATTAGAGTGACCAACACCTCGTGTGTGAGGCGAGTGTTTGAGTTCTTTAAGAGTAAACCATCAAGAATGTTTCGGACAAGACCAATCATCCTTTCCCACACACCTCCCATGTGAGAAGAATGTGGTGCATTGAAAGTCCATGTGCAGCTCTGGTCTTGTAAGAAGTTCTTGATTTCTGGATCCTTAGATTTGATCCCTAACTCGTTACAAGCACCGATAAAGTTTGTACCTTGATCTGATCTAAGGTGTTTGACTGGACCTCTGATTGACAGGAATCGGCGCAGAGCGTTAATGAAGCTAGAAGTTGACATTGACTCGACAACTTCTATGTGTACTGCCCTAGTACTAAGACATGAAAACATCACAGCCCACCTTTTACTTTCTGCACTATTTGACCTTGTGCGGCGGGATGTTACATTCCAAGGTCCAAAAACATCTAGACCTACGCAAGTAAATGGCGGATCTACAGTAAGTCTATCAACGGGTAAGGAAGCCATTTTCTGTTCCTCCAAATGACCCCTTAGTTTCCTACAAGTGACACACTTGTGAATTATGCTAGAAACTAATTTCTTAGCTCCTACAATCCAAAGTCCTGCAGTGTGCAAAGCGCCTTCAGTAAACTGACGCCCCTGATGTGCTACTTGATCATGGTAGTGTCTGACTAGAAGGATGGCGATATGATGAGAACCTGGGATTATCAGAGGGTGTTTCTCTAGCTCAGAAACATCTACTGCTTGCAAGCGTCCCCCAACTCGTAACAAACCTTCACTGTCAAGGAAGGGGTCAAGCTTTTCCAGAGGACTTTGTGTTGGCATTTCTTTTCCTTCAGAGAGTCTTTTGATTTCTTCTCTGAAGATCTTGTGTTGGACGCATTTGATTATAATGGTTTTTGCTTGTGAAAGTTCTGTGTCATTTTGTTTGTCATATGTGTGTACTTTCATGACACAAATGAGTGCTTGAATTCCTCTAACCAAAGACTTCCAAGTTGAGAAACGTTCAAATCTGTGAGAACCAAGCTTGTTTTCATTTATGTTTGTTGCCAACGTGGTCACTTGAGGACGAACTTCAGAATCTGCTGATGGATCAACAAGGTCAAAGTTTTCAGCTTTGTTGTTGTGTTGAGCATTGACTGTTAATAACTGTGGACCGGAAAGCCAGGTTGTGTGTTGCAGTTGAGATGCTAAAACAATCCTGGTGCCATGGTCTGCTGGGTTTTTGTCTGTGGCTACATGGTGCCACTGCTCTGGTTTGGTCAACTTGCGGATCTGGGTGACTCTGTTGGCTACGTAGACATAGAAACGGCGAGTGCTGTTGTGAATGTACCCAAGGACTATTTTACTATCAGTGTAAAAGTTGACTGTTTGAAACTCAATGTCCTCAATGATTGTCTGAGCAAGTTCAACGGCTAAAACAGCCGCGCACAGTTCAAGGCGAGGGACAGTGTTAGCAGAGGATGGCGCCAGTTTAGATTTTCCCATCATAAACCCAACATGGCATTGACCATCTGTATCAATGACCTTGAGATAAGCTGCAGCTGCTATTGCCATTGTTGAAGCATCTGAGAAGATGCATAGTTCTCTTGTTTGAGTGACTGATAGTGAAACGGGTACAAAAGGCCTGCTGATTTGAAGATTTTCAAGAATAGCAAGTGAGTCAGTCCATTTTGTCCACTCTGCCTCTCTATGTGGTGGTAAAGGTTCATCCCAGTCCTGTTGTTCTTGAGTTAGCTCTCTGTATAGTGCTTTTCCATGAATTGTCACTGGGGCAGCAAACCCTAGGGGGTCGTAGAGGCTATTTACAACAGAAAGTATGCCTCTGCGTGTAAATGACTTAGTGTCTTTACCTACTCTGAATGTGAAAGAGTCATCTTCCAAGTTCCAACCCACCCCAAGACTTCTCTGTAAAGGCAAGGGGTCAACATCCAAATCTAAATCTTTGAGGTCGGTTGCTCGCTCCTCCGGTGGGAATGCATTCATTACTGCACTGACGTTTGAAGCAATTTTGTGAAGTCGTATGTTTGATTCAGACAGCATGTTTCTTGCTTTTGTTAAAAGTTCAATGGCTTCGTTCTCACTGGGCACAGAAGTAATACCGTCGTCCACATAGAAATTGCGGAAGACAAACTGTTTTGCGTTCGAGCCATGTTCTTCTTCCCCTAACTCGGCTGCTTGTCTCAGTCCATAGATTGCAATAGCTGGGGACGGACTGTTCCCAAAAACTGGGACCTTCATGCGAAACTCTTTTATTTCTTTGCTCAGGTCATTGTCTCTGAACCATAAGAATCTGAGATAGTTTCTGTGGCTTTCTTTGACTCGGAAACAGTAAAACATCTGCTCCACATCGACAGTAACTGCTACCTGCTCTCTTCTAAAGCAAAGCAGAACACCAAGCAGTGTATTGTTTAAATCGTGGCCTCTAAGCAGTATGTCGTTAAGTGAGATGCCTTGAAACTGTGCGCTTGAATCAAATACAGCCCGGATTTTGCCCGGTTTCTGGGGGTGGTACACCCCAAATATTGGTAAGTACCAACACTCTTCACCTGGTTCTAACGGAGGGGCGATTTCTGCCTGGTCATTAGCAAAAACTTTGTCCATGAATTCAATGAACTGTTCTTTCATATCTTTCTTTTTGTCTAATGTCCGTTTCAAAACTGTGAGGCGCTTCAGAGCCTGTTCTCTGTTATTTGGAAGGTGAGGGCGTGGATTGCGAAAGGGTAATGGCGCCACCCAATGGTTATCATCGTCCATAAACACTTCCTTGTTCATAATTTCAATGAACATTTTGTCTTCAACTGACATGGCTGTTTTGTCATCATCAGGGGTTCTCTGAAACACATTGTGCCCAAGACAGTCTGTGTGTTTAAGTGAGGTTGCCTCTATGTCACTGAAGGCAACGAGTTGCGATTTGGGGGGAGTGAAAGTCTCTATTACATGAATAGCACTAGTGCATGGCTCAAGGAATGAAGTGCGTCCGTTTTGTAGTACATTAGTTTTGTAAACGTTGACTTTAGTCTGTTTGTGTGCTCTCCCTAAACAAATCTCACCTACAATAACCCAACCCAAATCTAGCCGCTGAGCATATGGTGTGTTGTGCGGGCCATTGTACTGCTCACGCACTTTATGTAAGCTAAGAACGTCTCGGCCAATTAAGAGAAGGATGGGCGTATCTGGCTCTAATGGTGGTATTTTACCTGCTATTGGTGCGAGGTGAGGGAAATGCTGTATAATGTCAGGAGTAGGGATTTCACTACGGTCATCTGGCATTGAGTTACATTCGAAAACAGGCGGAAGTGTGACCTGAGTCTGTCCATCCAATGAAGCAACAACAAAGTTGTGTGCTTTTCTACCTGTAGTTTCACTGATGCCTGAACATGTTTTTAAAGTGTAACTGGAGGGCGCTACACTGATGTTAAATAACTCGAAGAAGTCAGATTTAGCCAAAGAGCGATTGCTTTGGTCGTCTAAGACCACATACATTTTATGTGCCTTGTCTGGGTGGCCTGCTGGATAAACATTCACTAAAGAGATTTTTGAGCAAGATCTAAGTCCAAGTGTTTTGTCACAAATCTCAGTACATTTGGAAGTTACCTCAGGGGATGCGCTATCGACTCGCTCCCCGCCATGCTCTTGCTCTGTCACTTGTGCCTCTGTTGACCAAGGAGCTGGACCAGGATGTAGAGCACTAATGTGTCTATCACTATTGCACTCTCTGCATTTAACAGCAATCTTACAGTCCTTAGCTAAGTGTTCAGTGGAGGCACAACAACGAAAACAAATGGAGTTTTCTTTTAAATAAGCTTTTCTTTCATCCAAATGTTTGCTCCTAAACCCTCTACACTTTGCTAGGGGGTGCGGCTTGTCGTGCATGGGACAGCGGTCAGCAGGCTCGTCTGCTTTCTTGTCTTTATTACTGTTGTAAGGCGTTGTAGTCATAGCTGTTACTTGAGTCTTTCTTACTGACACCGTTTTGCTATTATTGTATTGCCTTTGTGTTTTATCCTGCTTTATGTGGCTTGTGGCGCAGGATGAGGAGAATGAGAAACTTGGATCATTACGTGTTTTTGCTTGGCTGCAGATGAAACTCATAAAGTATCTGAAAGGTGGAGAGGAAACACGATGCTCTTCCTTGTACCTAGAGCCATGTGTGATCCAGCGTTCTTGTAGTCCATAAGGAAGCTTTTCTACAATCGGGTTAACACCTCTGGCTGTATCCAAATAAGCTAGACCAGGTAGACTTCCTCCTGATTTGGCAGACTGTATCTCCATTAAAATGTCTCCTAACTCTCTGAGACGTTGATTGTCTTTGTTGGAGATTTTAGGAAAGTTCTCTAGTTTTGACAATAGAGCATTTTCAATGATCTCAGGTGAGCCATATGTGTCATCTAATCTTTGCCACACCATGTCAGCACCTGCTGGAGCGTTGTGGACGTGAGCCGACCTGATTCGCATTGCTTGTGGGGATGAATCAGGGCCGAGCCACTTTATCAGTAAGTCTAGCTCTTCTCTAGCTGTTAAGTTGAGCTCTCTTGTAACATCTTTGAAAGAGTTTTTCCAAGCCCAGTAGTTTTCTGGACAGTCATCAAATTTTAAAAGGCCTGAGCTCACCATTTCTCTCCTGACTAGATATTTAGTGAGATCTGTCATTGGAGCTGCTCCAAGGTTGTAGTCTCTGAGACTGGATGTGTAAGACTGTGGATGAGGAGGATGTGGTTGGGCTCTGTTGTGAGTGTCATTTGTTACCTCATTTTTAAACAAAACATTATGGAGATTTGACTCGGTAGGAAGCGGGTACCACTGAACTGGATCTGGTGCTACAGAGGCTGGAGGCGGTGGAGATGGTGCTCGTGCGTTGGAGGTGGTGTCAGGCGGCTGCGGGACCGAAGCTTTCTGCTGTGGGTCGTTGTAGTGGGCCTGCACGTACTCGCTGGTGCGTTGAGCGGTGTCCTGAGGCAAGATCTGGACCAAGTCGGAGAGAGGATCCTTCTCCTCCACTGCGGCTGCCTCGTAGACTGCTGCTTCTGCTGAGGCGGCTGTGGCGCTCCTCTGTGTCTTCAGGACGTAGAGATTAGCATCTAATTCAGCTAACATCTTCTGTTTTTCTGCTTCTATTTTAGCTTTTTCGATCATCATTTCTGCTTCTTTAGCTGCATACTGTGCTTCTACTAAGGCTGCTTCAGCTCTAGCTTTGGCTTTGGTGGCTGCAGCACTGACAGAGGACCTGCTCGATCTTGTGCCAGAGACCTCGGATCTAGTGTCATAAAGTTTTTGTATCTGGTCAGACTTGATATGCTGCTTCATTTCGTCGTGTTGGCTCATAATGCTTTGTAGAAAGTCTCAGCCCGTTGTGCAATTGTCCTTTTACTTTTCTGTCCTCACTATGGTGTCACACTACCAGGGCTAGACAGATAGCGAACAACAAAAGAGAGTCCAGTAGACCATGTAGAGACGTTAACTTTTACTTTTTGCTCCACACTTGTCTCTTTAAAGTTGTAAAACTGTAACACAATACATAGAAACAAGTATCAATAAATTGTACCAAACAATGAGCTTCCAAAAGAAATGAATGAATATTACAGCTTATTACACAGTCAGTAAATGAAACACTACATCTTACATTTGTACTCATGTAACTCGTGTAACACAGAAAAAATACATTTTTGTATTTCTGAACTTTAGATTGGAGCGTATAGCCTAGCTTAAAACAAATGGAGCTAACACACAAAATTAGCAGTTAAAAAAAGTAGTAGCAACAAAAAGAACTTCTCATTTTCTCATTCTTATTTGTACAAATTTTTATCAACAAAAGAACATCAAAAACCACACATCATACATCACTTACGGACGAAGATGCCCCAAGGCTGAAAAACGGGTGTCTGAGTGAGCTGAACTGCACGTGAGCTGACGTTGAATGATGAGTGTGCAGAAAAAACGAAACTTATACCCAAGTTGTCCACTAGAGGGCAGTATTCAAACGCGCCAAAAATAACAATTTATAAAATGTACATAACAAAAAAAGGGTGTAACAGTACAACTGGTACATAGTCATTTCATACATAAGAATAAACTTTTTCCAATGACAATCCGTCACATCGAGCCCTATGTCCTCGATGCACAATCAGACCCTGATTATTTAGTTTAAAGAAGTATACGGCGAGTTAGCGTCACTTTACTCACAGATCGGGGGGTCCGTGTTACGTCTTTTACCGTGGGAATAACGTGTTTCCAGATCAGCTTTTGAGTAGGTCCAGTTCCATTGTCCCTGTAGTTCTGGAACAGTCTCAGTGAAGTGTCGCAGATGAACCGGTATTATAATAGATCCATGAGATGAACAGATGAAAAAAGTCGAGCCGCTTTCTTCCTCTTAGGGCCAAATAGTGTGTCACATATTTACACCCATAACACACTTCATTCAAGTTGACAAGTTGACACTTTTAGTTTCTGACAAAAGCATAAAAACAGCAGCTCTATGTGGTGTCCGCGAGACCAGACCACAGACGCTGGACTCGGGAGCCGGAGCCTGTGCGCTCTGATTTGCTGTTTTGATCAGTCAATCACCTCCCGCCGGCTTTTAATTTATTTTTATTTTTATTATTTTGGACAAAAAACAGCATACTAATTGTGTATTGTTTACCCCGTTTTGACGAAAGTATTTAAAAACTATTTTAAATACAAAGCAAACGAGCTTATGCGCGTCATATGCGTCATCAGTGTGGGTTTCGTCACTGAAGTGGACCCGAGCGTTTCTGTGCCTCACGCTGGGGAAGTAGACAGATTGTTCTCTTACTAAAGATTGACAGAATCAATGAATAAACTACTGTGGGCTTGTGTATGAAGGCCAAATAGCACTGTAATCATGTTTAAAGCAGATAAAAGTCAAAAACCGTGATATGGGCCCTTTAAGCAGCAATGACAACTGTCTGTTTTTTTGTTTTGTGTGACAAGTGAGCTGTCAATCACAGCCCAGACCACGCCCAACTCTAAGCCCCCCTTCTTGTCCCTTGGTCCTCCAGGCAACGCCCTTTTAAGAGAACATTTTCAAATCTTCATGTGGGCGGAGTAAAGCTGGGCACAGGTGTTTAGTCGCTCTTTAAGCATAATTTGTTTGTGATCGTGGCTATTGTAGCTGGTAAGAAAACATGAAATCCAGACATTCATTTAAGGACATTCACAAACATCTGTGGACATTGGTCATCCTGCTCCCTATGGACCAATGGCTCTTGAGTGTTTCTTTTTGTGTTTGTTATTGCATTCCTGTGTTCAAACTGTTTGATTCTCTGATCTTTGATTGAGGAATCCATAATTTTAAATGCCTCTAAGACGACTGCTGTGCAAAAATACATTTAATGGAATTGAATTGAGATATTTTTTTATGAAGGGAAATGATGATGATACATTTTATTTTTTTAAAGTTAGGCCTCATCATAGGTCATTCATAAGTTGTTAATTATAATAATGCATCAATTTTAAATAGATTTTTTTTGGACATCGAGATTTCTCATGCAAGTTTAGCCACAAATGAATTAGCAAATTAATCACATACTGTAGGTGAGCAAGTTTACCAGGGCATGACAAGTTTCAGTGTTATCTCCTACTTTTGGGCAGAACCAATATATGTAATCACTAAGAAGCACTATGAATATCATGATTACAAAAACCCTTTCTACTTATGGGGCACTCCTGGACAAAAGGTTTCCATCCACAACTGGAGTGAATTGTTACACAAGACCTTCAGACATCTTTCCCACTTACCATCTCACCTCCACAAATGTCTTTAAACTTCTGCAACCCTGAGATGTTTGTGCCAACTCCATTGCAAAACAAACAACGAGAGAAATGTCTTACAAATTCACCTCTCTCTGATTGCGACAAGACTGAGTATGAGCGTGCCGCTGGGCCGGGGCAGGTATTGACTGGTTGATTTGTTTTGGCTATGTGAAGGTCATTTCTTTCACAGCTATGCATAAATATTGCATTGGAAATGTTAGCTGGGCTCACTGGTATTTAAGGCTAATGGAGCGGCTCGATCGAGTATACGGCAATGAGAGGCAGGGTGAAGCCTGTCCTGCTTGACCTTATGGCACCCGAAAGACTGTTGGAAGTGCAGCACCTGTAGAGACGAGACAAAAGAGTGAGTTTGTGCCTGTTTTGTTAAGTGCAGGCTTTCGACCTTTCCTATGGACATTGAAAGTTTGTCTGACATGACTTATAATTCAAGTTGGGAAAAAAAAACAATCTTGGCTTGAATGACATATGGTCAGGCGTGAAAAAGAATGATTTGCGAGACATTTGCGTCCAAAAATACGTCTCATCTTGTGCCTTTGAGTTAAATAGTTTTTCTAAAATCAGTTTTAAACCCGCGCCAGCCAAATTAGATGGAGCTGCAGAGATCTTGAATATGTCTGCTTGCAAATGTGTGTTTGCTCTGGATCCCTCCCAAATTAGTTCTGAGGAAATCTACATTACAACATTCAGACTTGGTAATTCCCGCCTCCATTGTCACATTTATGGCCAGTTGCTGTGATGGACAGACAAAATTCCCTCACACATCTGCCAAATCTGCAAATATATCATAAACATATAGCTATAGTCGACTCAAACAATAACATGGAAATGACAAGCAACGTACTAGATCACAGGTGTCAAAGTCAAGGCCCGGGGGCCAGATCCTGCCCGCAAGACCATTTCCATTGGCCCTTGAGATGATTTTAAATTATTATATCTAATAGTAGCATTAATGGTAATAGGCGACAATGGCATGTTATCCATTACTAAGAAAACAACCATAAGATTTAATTCCATAAGAAATGTTAAGCCAACATGTAATTATTTTAGGGCTGTCAAACAATTTAATTTTTTTAGTTGATTAATCGCATAGTAATGGTGAGTTAACTCACGATTAATCGCATGTTTAACATTCTATTTCAAATCCACTCCAATTGAAGTTAAATGAGATTATCAAATATAATTACCAGTATTGGGTAAATTACTTTGAAAAAGTAATTAGTTATAGTTACTTGGTACTTCTTCCAAAAAGTAATTGACTTACTGACTGAGTTACTCCACTATAAAAGTAACTAGTTACCAGTAAAAGTAACTATTGCGTGGTACCGAGCTTCAGCTGGCTGTAATTTAGGATAACTTCTAAGTAGATTAATTGCTGCAACAACCCCACCTTATTTTAGTATGATATGTTAGTTTAGGGAACTGTCCTGCAGGCAAACAGGTATAAGACAGGCCAAGGTGCCATTTAATTAAATTGCATTTATTTTTATCCATTGATCAAACAAACAGATTACAAAACTTGCAATTGAAAGAGACTATTTTAAAATAATTAGTTCCCAAAAACACACACGAGCAACACTCGCGCCTGACAGTCAAGAACCAGGGAAAATACAGTACGCAGAGCGCGCCTGACAGTCAAGAACCAGGGAAAATACAGTACGCAGAGCGCGCCTGACAGACAAGAACCAGGGAAAATACAGTGCGCAGAGCGCGCCTGACAGACAAGAACCAGGGAAAATACAGTGCGCAGAGCGCTGAGTATGTGAACGGAGCAATCGCTTGCTGCTGTTATTATAATAGCTAGATCCATGCTTGCAGCCCGTGCAAAGCTTGCACTCACTCACAGCCGCTAACAACAACCAGAGCGGCCACGGAGGAGGCCATCTCACACGGAGCATTCTGAGTGATATTCTTATGGATAAATGGGCGAGTCATTCGGACATGCGTTAATGCGTTTAAAAATAAATAACGCGTTAATAAAAACTGTAATTAACGTGAGTTAACGCGATAATTTTGACAGCCCTAAATTATTTAGTATTATTATGTAATGTTTTATACCAGTCTTCAATTACGTTTCTTCTTAAAGATATGAAGGAGGATTTCCCAATTTTCAAGTAAGGGCAGGCTCCATTTGTGGCACCGGCACCTGCCACAGCTGATCAGTGGCATGTACACAACAAATGGCGTGTAAAACAGCATGTGGACAACAATGTGATAAGTGTTATTTTTTTAATTGCAGAATTAATATTATGTTTAATTTAATTATATATATATATATATATATATATATATATATTGCATGATGT